CGGCTTGTGCGCCACCAGGTGTCGCGGAGGGGCCGGCTGTGTGGCCTCGGAAAAGTGACAGTGGAGCAGCCGCAGTTTGAGAAGCAAGAGAAACAGTACGTTTCTAATCCTACTTATTGTTAACACACTTTCAATATAATGAATACCGCCTCTCTCTCTCTCTCGCGCGCGCGCGCTCTCTCTCTCTCTCTCATATATATAGTGGTTTGCAGCAGTGCAGATGAGATGAAAGAAATTGGAAAGGGTAAAATTACACAAGTCCTGTAAACCGAGATAAGGAATCTGGACTATATGTGAAGTGAAAGCCTTTAGAGTTTTTATTTTTTAATTGACATAAACTTGTTTAAATGTTTTTACTGATTTTTTGTTTTGTTTTGTTTTTAGAGAAAGAGGAAGGGAGAAGGATAGAGAGGCGGAAAAAATCAATGAGAGAAACATCAATGGGCTGCCTCCTACACACTCCCCACTGGGGACGAGCCCGCAACCTGGGCATGTGCCCTGACTGAGAATTGAACGAACCATGACCTCCTGGTTCATAGGTCGATGCTCAACCACTGAGCCACCGTGGCCGGTTTGAGGGTTTTAAACCAAGGTGTGGCATAGTCTATCTTTCAAAAAGATAACCTTAATCACTGTAAGGTAATGTATGTAAGTGAGAAGGAGGAGGAGAAACAGAAGAGAAAGTGAAGCAAGGGGAGCTATGAAGAGGCTATTGTAAGAGGCCAGGCAAGAGACGATGGCTTGGATGGTTCTGGTAGGGCTAGACAGGAAGGGATGGGTGCTAGAAATAGTTTAGAGATAGACTTGCCGGGCCTGATGGCTTGCATGGTTAGAGTGAGAGAAAAAGGAATCAAGGATGACTCAAGTTTTGGCCTAAGTAACTGAAACAAAGAAGACTAAAAGATGCGCAGCTTTTAAGGGATAGCAAGTTTGGGGTAGGAGATTAAGATAACAACCAATGAAATTGAAGCAGTAACCAAAACATTAATTAAAAAAGACATCATTCAGCATGATTTACAATAGCCAAGCTGCGGAAGCAACCTGTGTCCATCTTCCACCGATAGACAAATGGATAAAGATGTGGTATATATGTATACAATGGAATATTAGCCATAAAAAAAGAATGAAATCTTGCCACTTGCGACAGCAAGGATGGACCTAGAGGGTATTATGCTAAGTGAAATAAGTCAGATAGAGAAAGGTAAATACCATATGATTTCACTTATATGTGGAAGCTAAAAAACCCCAAAATAAATGAACAAACAAAACAGGAACAAGCTTATAGATTCAGAGACTAAATCAATGGTTGCCAAATGGGAGTTGAGGGGAAGAGGGAAAAGGGAAAAGGGATTAAGATGTACAAATTGCCAGTTATAAAAAAGTTACGGAAATGCAAAATATAGAATAGGGAATATAGCCAATATTTTAATAACTATGTATGGTGTCAGATGGGTACTAGATTTATGGGGTGATAATTTTGTAAGTTATATAAAGGTCTAGCCACTGTATTGTACAACTGAAAGGAATATAATATTGTATGTCAACTGTAATTGAAAAATTAAAAAATATAAAAATGAAAATAAGGAGAAAAAAAAAGACTGAGAAAATACAGGGAAGGAAATTACAGAAGTAATACAAGAAAACTTCCCAAACCTGGAGGACATGAATTTCATTAATTCATGTCTGAGTGTCGTGTATAATAAGTGAACAAAAACTTATTCCATGGCACACTGTGCTGGCATATAATATTAAGAATAGCCAGGTAGATGTGGGTCAGTGGTTGAGCATTGACCTATAAACCAGGAAGTCACAGTTTGATTCCCTGGTCAGGGCATATACCCAGGTTGTGGGCTCAGTACCCAGTGTGGGGCAAGCAGGAGGTAGCCAATGATTCTCTCATCATTGATGTTTCTCTCCCTTTCCCTTCCTCTCTGAAATCAATTAAAATATGTTTTTTTAAAAGTGTTCTTGCCAACAAGGCAAGGCAAAAGAAGAGGAAAGATGTTAGGATAAAGGGAAGTTTCCCACAGGAATTACCAAGAATTTATTTCATAGAGGAAGGCCTCAATTGCTTCTTGCTCATGGAAATGTTTTCACCTGCCTTGCTAAAGCCTTGATACTCATATCTGGGACGTATTAAGCAATTCAGAAAGTTTACTCATTAACTTTGATTGATCTAATTCAGTGATTCGCAAAGTGGGCGCTACCGCCCCCTGGTGGGCGCTGCAGCGATCCAGGGGGGCGGTGATGGCCACAGGTGCATTTGTTTTAACTTTTTTTGTATTACCTTTCTATTCTGAGTTCAATAAATAGTTTCATAATTTCAAACTTCAATGTTTCTAATTTACACCTTTCTTTACTATATTTTACGAAAAAGGTAGAAACATTAATACATATATCTTTCTGTTTAATTGCTATTAAAATTTAAAAAAAATTAATTTCCAGGGGGCGCTGAGTAATATTTTTTCTGGAAAGGGGGCGGGAGGCCAATTAAGTTTGGGAACCACTGCCCTAATGCCTAGACCTGTGAATATGAAAAGACCAGATTAATTTACCTGACAAAAGAGGCTTGGAAGACCTTGAGATAGGAATTACCCTGATTACCTGGGTGGGTAGAAGAGGATGGAAGAAGAGGTGGTCAGAGAAAGATGCAACAGTGGAAGAAGAGAGATCTGAAATGGGAGAAGCATATGTCCAACTGTTGCTGACCTTGAAGACAGAGGAAGGAGGTCACAAGCCAAGGAATGTAGGTGGCCAGTAGAAGCTGGAAACACCAGCAAACAGGGACCTCAGTCCTACATCCACAAGGACTGTATTCAATTAGCCTGAATGAACTAGGAAATAGCTTCTCCCCTAGAACCTCTAGAACAGCGGTTCTCAACCTGTGGTTTGAGACCCCTTTGGGGGTCGAACAACCCTTTTACAGGGGTCGCCTAAGACCATTGGAAAACACATATATAATTACATATTGTTTTTGTGATTAATCACTATGCTTTAATTATGTTCAATTTGTAACAATGAAATTGGGGGTCACCACAACATGAGGAACTGTATTAAAGGGTCGCAGCATTAGGAAGGTTGAGAACCACTGATTTAAAGTAATTATTGATAGGTATGCTTATTACCAATTTTAATAATGTTCTCATTATTTACGTAGTTATCTATTTCTTTCTTATTCTATTGCTAATTAACTACTTTCTATGGTATGTTTGAATTCCCTTCACTTTATTTCCTGTATATCTCTTGCAGTTATGTGCTTCTTATATACCAAGCTATGTTTATAACAGTCCATTTTAAGTTGATGATCACTTAAATTTGAACACATTCTAAAATCACTATAATTTTACTTAATCCCAGCACGTCAATGTTTTGGTCATTGCTTTTTACTTTTTTGTCATCTCTATTTTGCTTGTTAGTTAACTTCAGATATTTTATTTTGCATTTCATGGTTTCTATCGCTGTTGAAATTCTGAGTTCATGTATTCTTCCCCTATGTTCACTGAGAATCCTTATAGCCAGTGTTCCCCAACCCCCTGCCCCAGGCCCTCACCACCCCACTGCCTGCATCCATGGGTTATGCATATATGCATACCAGGTCTTTAGCTGATTACCTCCCACCCACCTACCCTCTCCCGTCTTCCCTCCGAGATTCTGCACTCTGTCCCATGCTTCCATGTCTCTGGATCCACTTCGTTCATCAGTTTACTTTGTTAATTAGATTCCACATATGAGTGAGAGCATGTGATACTTGTCTTTCTCTGACTTATTTCACTTAAAATGATACTCTCCAGGTCCCTTCCATGCTGTTGGCTTCTTTCACTTAACATGTTTTTGAGAATCACCTATATTGTTTGTAACAGTAATTAAAAAAACAACTGTTGAGTAGTATTCCATTATGAATACACTACACCTCCTGATGGACATTGGACTGTTTCCAGTTTTTAGCTATCATGAGCACATTTTTAAAAAATATATCTTTATTGATTTCAGAGAGGAAGGGAGAGGGAGAGATAAAAACATCAATGAGAAGCATTAATTGGATGCCTCTTGCACGATTGGGGATCGAGCTGTGCCCTGACTGGGAATCAAACCGTGACCTCCTAGTTCATAGGTGGATGCTCAACCACTGAGCCACACTGGCCTGGCCATCTCTGAATTAATATAGTGGGTATTTTAGGGGAGAATCATAATCTAAATTTAAAGTATCCCCAGGATCCCTTAGAGATATTTAACTATATACTAGTATAGCCTCATTCTTCTAGAGAAAAGTTTAAAGTTTGATCAATTATCATGTAATAGAAACAATAAATCTGTGTCTTAACAGATGTAATGTTTATTCTAAGTGGAAATCACCAGTGCCTAAATTGGTAAGAAGGGAAAAAATAGTTGGAAAGAAAGGGAAAGGAGAGAAATGGGGAGGGATAAAAGAGAAATCAATAGTTTTGTTAAGCAACCACCACCACCCTTCTTGGGGCAAACAAACTATAAATAGACTTGTTTTGGGCATTATTTTAAGCTTGTTTGTTCACTTAATATAATATTAACTAATCTCTCAGATGCTGATTTCAATAGGAAAAAATGACAAATAAAAGCTACCTCTGAAGTGGTTTAAAATATTAAAAACCCTTTAACTTTACTTAGCCCTTTTCAACTTTCAATTTATTTTCACATTATTCCTTTTGCTCCTCATACTCCTGTGAATTTGAGATTTGATTTTGATTTTATGTATGAGAGAGAAAAAGAAAGATACCCAGAGAGGCTGATTTGTCTAAAGTCACATGGTTTGTATGAGCTGGAACCAGTACCCAGGTGCTCTTCAATAGGGAGTTTCCCTGCTTTCTACTTGCACCCCGCTTAATCTTCAGCCCCTGCCTTCTCTCTCAGTCACATTAATTTTATTTTCCTGTTGTTTATATGTCTTCTAAGGAAAATGATAAGTTTAGTAATGGTGCAATATTCATTGTACCTATCTACTTAAAAATTTTTATTGTACAAAAGTTGCATTGAAACGCCAATATGCATTTATTTCCCCACCATTCATAAATTTTTAATTTTGAAGATTCTGGACCAGATAATATGTAAAGAGAAGACAAGGATTATCCAAATAAGTTATAACAAATTTCTAAACCTCTCACATATTAAAATTAGTAAGACAAAAATATGATTTACAGTACACATTTGCCATTATGTTAGATAAGAAAATAGTACCCATACTAAAATTAATTCATCCTACTTATCAAAATTTCTAGTATAAGAATGAAAATATTCAGATTCTTATAAATAGACAGGTATTCAAAAGTTTCTTTTGGACAACATTCTTTGGTGTTTATAAAACTGCATATATTATTATATATCTATTATACAGTCTTTTCAGACTGTACATTCCTTTTAAATTGGAAATTAAAAAATATAAGTTAGATATATTTATAGAAAATAGTTATAGGATATTTTGATTTCATGGTGCCCTAGTGTTTATAGACCATATTTACTTATTAAACTTTAAATGACTACCTATACTTTGATATTTCTTATATATCTACATGTACCAAAAAAATGACATTTATGGGCAGAAAATTAAACTGAGTTGACAATTATTTATGACTCTCTCAAATGGCTATTCCACAACATACAGAGCTAAATGAAAAGATGAAAAGCCTAGCATTGCTTGGATACCAGCTTGATAAACAACTAGGAATGCCAGATGCATAAGAAATGTAGTATTCTACTTTAGAGGCAGAAGACAAGTGAGTGAACAACATGGACACAACTTAGTATAAGTTCTTCACCTTAATAAAGTAATATTCATTTGCAAATATTACCAAAAGTAAAAAAAATTTATTTTACAGAGTGGTTGGTTTTTGTAATACATCAAAAACTGTAGTTATACTTCCCTGTTCTCACTGCTTGTCTCATTATCAGTGGTTGAAGTTTCTCCCAAATAATTTACTTTACATTTAAAGTGGCAATACAGATTTTACTTAATGGATTTAAGTTTTAATTAGAAACTAGTTTTATATACAGAAAATCCATAAATATAGAACTTTTATTCTTTTTTTATCCTAGGGCTATGCAAAAAGATCGACTAAATTTTTCATTTGGGTCTTTGTAATAAACATGTACATACATTATTTACAATGGAGATGCTTTCTGGCACAAAGTAAACACAGAAGTAATTTTGGTCTTCACTTGATTCCGTCATTATATGTTCATCTTTAAAGATGATGTGATATATCATGTTCACTCAAATTTCAAGATTCTTGTTATATATATAATTCAAATAATGATTTTACTTGAACAATGAATGCTCCATTCTGTATTTAAATTTCCTTTAAGATTCCTTGATCCAATAGTAGGGAACTTTAATTTTGTTTTTCAAATATGGCAAAATGTTTCTGTACAATTGTGTGCAATTTTCTTCCTTCTGGCAATATTCTAAATACTTAGTCATTTAATCTTCATTGTTTACACTCCAGAGGTAATTCCCGGTTATCTCACATGATGTAAGTGCCATCTTTGTAGTATTTCATGGACTCCATTTGTTTTGTCATAGCCAGGACATCATGAAATCCGGTACTTAGGCCAGACATATGTTGAAAGTATGCCTCTTTTTCCACTTGAATTGTTAAATTGTTTACTCCAGCATCTTTAAGTATTCCTGTAACCTGTTATTAAAAAATCCATACATTTTAAAGCTTTTAGGTTAATGCATTTAATGCACATGTCTTAAATAATTGATATTTCATTTTTTTATAGCTACAGATAGTCAAAGATACATCCTCAAAATAATGTTTATTATTTATTTGGGCAAATGTTAGATAGGATTTTATTAGTTTTTGTTTAAAATATGGAACGCTTGACAAATCTGCATGTCATTCTTGTGTAGGGGCCAAGCTAATCTTCTCTGTATATGTGCTGCCAAAGGGAGCACAAAATAGGATTTTAGACGACGAGTAAATTCTGATCTCACTTTAAAAGTAGTAAAAGAAAACAGCTATTGCTTCCAATTCAGTATGTCCAGAATAGGGATACAAGAACTGTTTTGATCCCTATCTTCAACCATAGCATATACCCTGCCAATGTTAGTATTATAATAATTAATTTAGGGCAGGGGTTCTCAAACTTTTAAAACAGGGGGCCAGTTCACTGTACCTCAGACCGTTGGAGGGCCGGACTATAGTTTAAAAAAAAACTATGAACAAATTCCTATGCACACTGCACATATCTTATTTTGAAGTAAAAAAACAAAACGGGAACAAATACAATATTTGTATTTGCATGTGGCCTGCGGGCCGTAGTTTTGAGGACCCCTGATTTAGGGCTACATTTATAATAACTTATTTCTTGATCTATTGGGAATTAAGGTTGATCATAAATTAATTTTATTTTACATTAACTTAAGCTGATCCTCTAAATCCTAAAACTTGATTTTATTTTAACCAGTTTTGGATATAAAGAAAACCTAGGTGTACTAAATGTTGTTATCCTCAGATGAAAGACTGAAATTTTAAAACAGTTAAATTACTATCGAACTGTACAAGTTATAATGCAAGAATTACCTCAATTATATGCAAGAATTACCTCAATTCAAATTACTTTAAAAACAAAGATTATTACCTGCTGTACTATTCTTTGTTCCAGCACATCAGATGTCACCTGTATATGAATTGTTCCTGCCACAATACTGGCAGAATGACGCCAAAAATGAGGGTCTCGGTATGATATTAATCCTTCAATTTTTTGTATCTGTTAAATAAAAGCTGAAGTAATATAAATGGACTTAAAGGTTATAATTTACTTAACATAAAGCAATCTTTTTGGTCCAGGAACCACTATTAAACTAATTATTTATGTATTTTTTGTTTATTCTCAAGCATTAACTCTTTCCAATAAGCTTCCAAATAATATTGGATTATCTATGCTCTCCCAAAACAAAAACAAACAAATCTAAACGAGAGGCACTACATTGGGATTTAAATTAAAGAAAATCAGCATCTTCATAATATAGTTTCCTATCCAAGAAAGTATCTCCATTTATTCAGTTCCTATTTTATGTCCTTTAAATAAAACTGTATTTTGTTCATTCATATATTGGACATTTCGTGTTAGGTCAATTTAACTTCAAATGCTACTTTAAAAGGAAGAAAATAGTGAAGAAATTACACACACTACCTTTTCTAAAGCAAGATGTAATTCTTTTTCATATTCTGGCGGCAGTCTCAGAAGTAGAACCTGACAAGCATCTTTAATCAGTGGAACAACACTGAGAAATATTAATATAGCAATAAAAAGAGAGCAGAGGGGATCAGCAATGAACCATCCAAACTGCTCTATAAGAATTGTGGATACAATCACACCAACACTGCCAAGTGTGTCTGCCAAAACGTGTAGAAATACACCTGTAAGTAAAATATATAAAAACATTAAAAATTAAATCACATCTAATTTAGTTCTTTTATCCATAAAATATCTATAAGTATTACTGGATACCTACTATGCACCTGTCACTCAAAATGACTAAAACATGGTCACTACCCTCAAGGAATTCACAACCCAGGAGTAAGAAGGTATGGATGTGGGCTACTGTACCACAGTGTGGCGAGTTTTATGATGGTGTGGTTTACCCTGGGAAGGCTTCCTAGAAATTGTGTATGAGCCAAGTCTTAACATTACCCAAATAACTTATATTAAACATTTAGAATAATTCAATACAGTGATAAATACTTCTCTTTAAAAAAAAAT